TTTTGTAATTTTATTTTGTGGATCCATGCATTACTTGTTATCCAAATAACTGCTATTTGGTAGGTTTTTTGGGTCACAACTAGGTTTTTTTTTTATTGTTTTTTGTTAACGAGGACTTGGTGATGGAGTTCTTGAATCATGACCGACGCGCACAAAAACACACTCTCTCTTCCTTTTACTCAACTTTATACCTTCTCATTCATTATTTTACTCAACTTTATACCTTCTCTTTTATCCTTTTACTCAACTTTTATTAATTTTATATTTAAACACACACCAATTCTCTCTCTTATGACTTCCCCAAGACACAATCTCTCCAAAAATACACACTATCTCTTCTCTTTACTCAAATTTTATATTTTAATACACCACATTATTTCAACCAAAAACACTCTCTTTCTTCTTTTTACTCAAATTTTAATAATTTTATATTTAAAGACATCCACATTTTATTACCAATGTGGATGCTCTAATAACTACAAAATAATTTATCGTGCAATGTCTCAAATTCTCAAAAAAAAAAAGAAAATTTAATTCAAATTCTCACAGGTTGACGAATCGAAAGGGTCGTACGTGGGGGCCACCATGCTCATATTCTTGTAATATCTTTGACGAAGTTCCATTGTTAAGTTATAGTATTTTTTTTAGATAACTCTAGTAAATCCTAGGCCAAAGAGTGCAGATTAATCTTTGAGGGAGGTGCAACCTATGGATATATCCTCTTTACGGGTATGCAAATGGGCCGATGCCATATCCATGTCAGTGTTCAAAACAATGTGATTTAGTTTCGCAGCAGGTAGATCCAACGTGGAACGGCGTCTCAGTCCCATCTCCTTACCACTCAACTACAGTGTCCCAGAAATTGAGTTATTCTTTGCCACAAGAATCAATATACTCAATTTAGGATATAATTGTTGGCCTGAACTTGCGGCCCAACCGGTCTACCACCTAACGATCTGCGGCCCGTGAACAGTAGAAACCCAACTCAAACAGTAACCGCGGTCTGGTTAAGCCTGAGTCAGATTCGGTAACTACGGTTAATGAAATCTAGTATGTACCCTCAAAACCTTGTACTATAAATAGGGGAATAATGTGATGTGACTAGGGATCTCTCATTCCTCTGATAGAGAGTACAAGAGACCCAGAGCATAATCGTTCAGGTCTCTAACTCCGACAGAGAACTCACCGGAAGGCCATCGCCGACCGGAAAACATCGTAAACATTTACATTACAAACTAGCTCGCAGAGACCAAGTAGCCCGGGATCTATCCGGTCAACTACGCTCTTTCTAGTTCATAGTAATCAGATAGACCGGGATCTGTGCGAACTATCTGTAGCGGTCTACTCTGTAACACTCATTTCGGGCTCAACTTCTAATACATGAAACTCTCCGACTTCCTATCTACTATAAATTCATTATTCGATCTTTAGGTTAAACAATAATATATAAAAATTCTATATCGGTTTGACGTTTTAAAAACATTCTATAGCAATGATCAAATTTGTACTTTGTAGGC